TTAATTACATTAAAAATTATTCTTGTTACCTATCCAAATACAGTGTCTTTAATATGAATGCAAATATGAAATGGATTCCTAAATTTGCGAAGAATAATTTTTTGGGACCAAAACAAATATGGGTACCAAAAGGTCAATTTTGAATATTTGTTTTAGGTTTGTTTGAAAGCCTCCAAAGAAAGTTGTACTAGTGGTCCCAATCAATCAAAGTTTGTGAATTATTCGAAGAAGGACGGTGACTTAGTAACCTTTGGTGGTAAAGGGTAAAATAATTGGTGAGGGTACCATAGGTAATGACATTTGTACTCTTATTGAAAATGTACTTTTTGTTGATGGTTTAAAGCATGGCTTATCAACCTGACAAAGATTTTAGAGTTATATTTGATAAAAAATAATTGCATAATTGAGAATAGTAGTGATAGAAAAGTTTTGTTTGTTGGAAATAGAGATAACAATGTGTACACTATTGATTCAAAGGATTATCCTACAAATAATGAATGTCTTTCGACTTTGCATGATAATTCTTGGCTTGACATAGAAGATTAGAACGGGCTAATATGCACTTATTTCAAATATCTCGAAAAATTCATTAGTTGCGGGTCTTCCTAAATTTAAATTTGAAAAACATAAAATTTGTGAGGATTGTTAAATGCTTAAGCAAACCAATTTCGCTTTCAAATTTAAAAATGTGTTTTCTACATCTTCAACTATTACAAGTTGATTTATTTGGCCCTTTTAAAATACCTAGTTAGGAAGGGAATGACTATGATTTTTCGAGATTTACTTGGGTTTCGATGATAAAACATAATAATGACGTCTTGAAAAGATTTGCTAGTTTTGTAAAAAGAGTTTTTTTTTTATTACTAGGAGTGTTAATGGAGGAGAATTTGACACGGTAGCATTTGAAAAAAATTTGTGAAGATAATGGTTTTTCTCATGACTGCTCGACTCCTCGACAAAATGGTGTGGTTGAAAAGAAAAATCGTACTTTACACGAATTTGCTATATCAATGCTAAACGGGTATGACTTACCAAAATATTTTTTTTGGACGGAATCCGTTAATACCGCTTTCAAATAGAGTTTTAATTAGACCCTCCTCAGATAAAACTCCTTGTGAATTTGGCATAATCAAATCCCAAATATTGGGTATTTAAAAGTTTTTTATTTTGAAAAACTGGAAATAGAAAATTTTGATTCTATTGGTATTTTTCTTGGTTATTCCTCTAAAGTTCATAGAGTTTTTAACGAGAGAATTTTAGTTATGAGGAAATCTATGCATGTGTATTGGATGAATCTTGTAATAATATTCCTAATGAGTCTATTTACCGTCATGATTGAGAAAGAAATTCTGTAATTTTACTTGTGAGTGACAAAATGAAAGAAACTGTTTCGGAAAAAGTAAACTGAGATGAGAAGGAGAATGAAGGTTCTTCATCAATGCTAGAAGAATGGAGGTATGTCTTATCTCATCTCAAGGACTATATTATTGGCGATCTCGAACAAGGTGTGAAAACTCGTCCTTCTATTAATTTTTTTTTAATAATCTTACATTTTATTTCTCAAACTGAAGCAAAAAATCTTAAGGATGCAAAAAATGATGAGTTTTGGATTTTAGCTGCGCAACAACTCTAAATCAACTTGAAATGAACAAAATTTGGGAATTAGTCCCTAGGCCCTCTAGTATTTTCATTATTGGAACTGTTTTTAGAAATAAAATTGATGCAAATTGGAATATCGTTGGCAATAAAGCTTGACTTATAGCTCAAGGTTAATGTCGGGAGGGAAGGTATAGACTATGAAGAAACTTTTGCACCCGTCGCTAGATTAGAAGCTATTAGAATGTTACTCGCTTTTAATCCTTACGAAAATTTTATATTGTATCAAATGGATGCGAAAAGTGCATTCTTAAATGGTTATATTATGGAGGAAGTTTATGTAGAACAACCTCCCGTATTTGGAAATTTTTATTTTCCGCCGATGCATATAAGTTTTAAAAGGCTCTTGATGGCTTAAAACAAGCTCCAACTTGGTACGATAGACTTGTTAATTTTCTCAGTGGGAATGATTTTAAAATGAGTAAACTCGACACTACTCTTATTGTTAAAATTAAAGAAATTGATAGGCTACTAATCGTTCTTTATATCAAGAGAGTTGATGAGTATGATGGGAGGGCTCAGTTTCTTTCTTGGAATTCAAATCAAACAACTCAAAACGGTATCTTCATAAATAAGAGAAATACACTAAAGATTTACTCAAAAGATTCAAGTTCAACGAAGGTAAGATTGCAAAAACTCCAATGAGCACATCCACTAAGCTTGACAAGGATGAAAAAGGTAAATGTGTGGATATTAAATCTTATAGAGGTACGATTCGGTCGCCAGTAGACCCGATATTATGTTCAGTGTATGTTTTTGTGCTAGGTTTCAATCTTGTCCTAGAGCATCTCATTTACATGCAATTAAAAGAATATTTAAATATTTGCTTGAGACTATTAACTTAGGAGCGTAGTATCATAGAAAGGCTGAGTTTAAATTGTTAGGATATTCTTATGCGGATTTTGCTAGAAATTTACTTGATCGTAAAAGTACCGGTGGAACTCGTCAATTTCATGGCAGTTCATTAGTTTCTTGGTTTAGTAAAAAGCAAAATTCGGTTGCCTTAGCTACTACCGAAGCGGAATATATTACGGTTGCCAGTTGTTGTGCTCAAATTCTTTGGATGAAACAAACTATTGGGGATTTTTTATTAAAATTTGATAGTGTGCCAATATTTTGTGATACTATTATGCCGTCAATTTAACCAAAAATCATATTCATCGTTCTTAAAACTAAACATATTGACTTGGACGTCATTGTATTAGAGAGCAGGTACAAAATTGACATATTATTCTTGATTTTGTAAGCTTTACTAATCAATTAGCTGATATTTTCACCAATCCAATAAATTTTTTAAAAAATAGGCTTAAGTTTGGTATTATTAGTTGTGATATATGTTGCTGAATTTTATAATCTTGTTTATAATTTTTGAAAGCATATTCTCCGAGAGCCATTATGTCATTCTTAATTTATCATTTTTCAATTGTTCTTTTTTATGATTCCAAAGCGGATGAAAATTAAGAAAGATATGTTCTAAGTTTGTTGTTTTGTAATTTATGAATCACTTCGTTGTTGTGATGTTTCATAATTTATTGAGGCATAAATACAGAGGGAGAATATGCTCTTGAGTGAATTTCAAGTACGAAATTTATGATAATACATTAAAATGCATCGATATTATTATTTGGACATGTATTATTTAGGTTTATGAATTTCCTACCATCTTTCTTGAAATCATCTTAAAAAAAAAAAGCTATTGTTGGCTTTTGGCCCACAGTCTAATTAATTGATGTTTTGATGATAACAAACCTACACTCTCATAATCTAATTAATTATGTTTTGATGATAACAAACCTATACTTAATTATTAACAAACTATCTGTATTTTGAATCGTATATGTAAGGTTGAGAATAACGATTTCAACCCCTTTTTCAATCACTCAAATCAGAGAAAAAACGAAGAAGTTGCAGTCGAAAAAAGATACGTGACGTGATAATGTGACGGTAAAATTGACATCATGGACCAATCAAAGTATGACATTTATTTCAGGAGTATCGAAGGGTGGAGTTTCAATTTACTTTTTAAAAAATAGAAATAAAATTACTTATACATCCTATATAATTTGAATTATAAAAAATATTTTTAAAAAAATCTAAATTCAAATTGATTTTTATTATTTTTATACTATATTATATTATTATATTATTATATTTTAAAAAAACAAAAAATAAATAAAGTTGGTTTTTTTTTGTTGGGTACAGTATTAATAACTATTTTTGCCACTTCTCTTGAACTCATTCTCTTCTCTATATTATAACACATCATTTCCATGATTTCTTTACTAGAGTGTCCAGGGTGACTCTCCGTCTTATTTGAGTGATCAAATTATGAATCTACTGTTCTTTTTAGAGAGTTGCGGTGTGTTACTGCAAAATTCAAATACTTGTACCGGTTTGATCATAAGTCGTGGAAATAATTGAGTTTGCTCTTGAACTCGTAAAAAGAGCTGTGCAGCGGTTGGGCTCTTATTCGAGGAAAGAGTAAAATTTGTTCCGGCTTTGAAGTAGGTGGTCGAGTTTGACTAACCTACTAAAAAACTATGGTGTTATATGTTTTAACTCTTTCTTGTTTTATCTCGAAATTGTTCGGGTGGTTTATTGCATGTTCTAAGTTTTTCATAATTGCTTAGGGGTATTTATTGAACTATTCTATTGTAATTATCATCTTCTACTCATTTTTTTTATCCTAGTTAGAGATTTTTTTTTTTTATGGATTAGATGTATAAAGGGTGGTGCGAGTGGTGATTGGGAAGGGATAAGAGATGAAGATGAGAAATATAATTCATGTCTCGACCTCGTTTGCCTATCAAGGATTTTTCATTTCTTCTTTTATTCTTTGTTTAAATGAGATTTCATCTCGACCCTTTTCAACTATTAGGGGTTTTTCACTCTCTTCTCACTCTCATTCTGCCCCGTTCTAACTATCAAGATGTGATTTTATCTCGACATAATTTATTTATTAGGTCTTTTCACATTCTCATACCGCACTGTTCCACCTATAAAGTCTTTTCATTCCCTCTTTTATTCTCTATTTAAATGGGATTTTATCTCGACCCTGTTAGCGGTCTTTTCACTCTATCTCCCATCTTTAGCTTATTTTCACTCTCTCCCATCGAAGTATTTTTACACTTTTATTTTGCTCGGAAGAGGTCTCCACAAGTTAAATGCTAGTCTTTAATAAATATCACAACCATAGTCTCTATTTCTTCCATAAAAAATTTACCATGGTCTTCTCGTTCTCACATTTTAGTGATCTAAATTTGAAAGAAAAAAAAAAAAAAAAAAAAAAACATTAACAAAAATTATAATTAAAATAAAAACCACCCACGAGAAAATTAAATTAATTAAGGGCAGTTCACATTTCTTCCGGGCCCTCCATAGTAAAAGTAATTTCCCCAAACTCTATCATTTCGAGGTTGAATATTATAGCAATTTGGATTATCTGCCCAAACCTCCAAATCCGACAATGGAATCAACCTATTATCCAAATTCACAACCTTCATATTACGAAAATAAGCAGCTTTTCGGAACCCCTCGCCGGCGAAATGCCCACTCCCCATTTCCGTCGCCGTGTGAAATCCCCACGACCTCTTATTCACCACCTCTCCGCCAAACTGTGTCTTCGTTGCGTGGCTTCGAAGGTGAGTGAACAAAAACGCCGGCCAGTACCCGATCACCACTCCCGACCCGTATTCCAACCACCAATCCCCGTGCTTCGGATCCTTTGAACAACCACAAACAACAACCCCCAATTCAATTTGGACTCATAATCTTCAAGAAAACGCATGAAATTGAAATCGGTTACCTTCCAAACCAGTAAGCTGATACTGAATTGGGCGCCGTTGTAGGAGGAAGTTGGAGCAATTGTAGCTCCAATGGCGATTCTACGGTTGGTTTGAACGAAGCCTGGACAGATTAAATTGTAGCAGCCTGTTGCTTGATATGCGTCGGACTGTTCATCCAAAAAGTTACCGTCATTTCATTTTCAATCTGATTTTGTTGATAATTTTTGTGTTTTAGTGTTCTTACCGTCCAATAAGTGAAGAATCTTGTATTGTTGTCTCCATACATCTTGGGGTAAACCTATATAGAAAAGTTAGGCATAGAATTAAAATTTGTATGGATTAGAAGATTGAATCGGTTTAGAAAGTTACCTGCCACCCAGCTTCAATGGTGTTGAGATCATGTGGTAATGTACCGGAGACGAGCCATATCTGTGAGAGGCTGAACTCGAATGGATAGTTGACCCGCGGCTTCCATACGGTCATGCTTGCCTGGGCTCCGTAGTACTGTCCTCCACTTACAAACCCCACTGCATACTGCCACCAACAAAATTTACATTCATTTCCACCTGGGTTTCCCCAAAATCTTAAAATTTACAAGGGAGGACTCTATATTTTGGAGAAAAAGACGTGAGATCCCACATATGCTAGGAAGGAGAACATCGGTTAGGGAGAATAACGAAACACCTCTTACAAGGGAGTGGAAACCTCCTGCTAGCTGAGGCTTTTTAAAAATCTTGAGGGAAGCCCGAAAGGGAAAACCCCAAAGAGGATGATATCTGCTAGCGGTGAGCTTGGGCCGTTTGGTATAGAGCAAGACATCGGGCGATGTGCCAGCGAGGAGATTGAGCCCCAAAGTGGGTGGACAAAGGCAGTGTGTCAACAAGGACGCTCGGCCCCGAAGAAAGTAGATTGGGAGGTCCCACTTTGATTGGAGAAGGAAATGATTGCAAGGGGGTGGATTGTGAGATCCCACATTGGTTGGGAGGAAACGAAACACCCTTTACAAAGGTGTGGAAGCCTCCCACTAATAGACTTGCACCCGAAAAGGAAAAGTCGAAAGAGAACAGGCCCCGAAGGGGTACATTGTGAGATCCCCACATTGGTTGGGAGAAGAACTAAACACCCTCTTTATAGGAGTGTTAAACTTCTTCTCTGGAAGGGAAAAGCCGAAAGAGAACAATATCGACTAGGTAACTGAGTTTAAGTTGGTTAAAGACTGACCTCATGACCTTTGCTGGGAGAGTCTCCGCTTGCTTTTCTTCCAAATCTCTGAACCGAACTCGCTCTCAACATATCCTCTTCTGTCGTTCTTCTGATCGGAACTGTCCCCTCTGGGCAGGATTCTCCGGACATGCTCCATAATTGGAACATTTCTGTCTCCACCTCACCGGAATGGCTCTGGTTATACGGTCTCTCCGGCGGATCCTGAAACAGCATTTCCACAGTTAAAAACAAAACCCATTTCGAAAATTTAGCCTCAGATTCCTTGAACTTACCAATGGCTTCTTTCCTTTGAGCAATGGATGATCAAAAGCTAGCTGCCGATGAGTTTCAACACAATCTATAAAGTCACCATCCGGACTCTGCACCCAAATAAAAGCATCACAATCAAGCTCCAAAACAGAGGAGATTAAACAAGAGTTACAGACCTGAATGGTTTTGACAGGCAACTTGTTGATTCGGTTAAGATCAGCTTGAATAAGCTTCAATTTCTTCAACTGATTCTCCGACCGGAACGCCGCCGTATGGTTATTGGGATGGATTTTTTTGTCGGGACGACAAAACGATGAAACGACAAGAAGGGAAAAAACAAGAACAGGAAGAAGAGGACGGTGGAAAGTTTTAGAATCCATATTTAATCCGAAAAAAAAAAACATGGGTCATTGTCTTTTGTGTTTGTCTTCTTTCTTTTTCTTAGTATAATATATACATATATGAGTTTTAGAGCACGGGAGCGGGAATTAACTGTTTCATTCTTTTTGTGGCTTAAAGTTGGGTCCTCTCATCTGGCAGCTGTTTCAACAAAATAATAATAATAATAATAATAATAATAAAAAGAAATTTAAAATTGGAATTGAATAGGTTATGGTTCATTCTTTTTTTTCGTGTTTGTCCGCTGCGAATATATTTATGAAATTGTTTAGTTGAATTATTATTGAAGACGAAAAATACTTTAATTACATTAAAAATTATTCTTGTTACCTATCCAAATACAGTGTCTTTAATATGAATGCAAACATGAAATGGATTCCTAAATTTGTGAAGAATAATTTTTTTGGGACCAAAACAAATATGGGTACAAAAGGTCAATTTTGAATATTTGTTTTAGGTTTGTTTGAAAGCCTCCAAAAAAAGTGGTACTAGTGGTCCCAATCAATCAAAGTTTGTGAATTATTCGAAGAATGACGGTGACTTAGTAACCTTTGGTGGTAAAGGGTAAAATAATTGGTGAGGGTACGATAGGTAATGACATTTGTACTCTTATTGAAAATGTACTTTTTGTTGATGGTTTAAAGCATGACTTATCAACCTGACAAAGATTTTAGAGTTATATTTGAAAAAAAATAATTGCATAATTGAGAATGGTACTGATAGAAAAGTTTTGTTTGTTGGAAATAGAGATAACAATGTGTACACTATTGATTCAAAGGATTATCCTACAAATAATGAATGTCTTTCGACTTTGCATGATAATTCTTGGCTTGACATAGAAGATTAGAACAGGCTAATATGCACTTATTTCAAATATCTCGAAAAATTCATTAGTTGCGGGTCTTCCTAAATTTAAATTTGAAAAACATAAAATTTGTGAGGATTGTTAAATGCTTAAGCAAACCAATTCCGCTTTCAAATTTAAAAATGTGTTTTCTATATCTTCAACTATTACAAGTGGATTTATTTGGCCCTTCTAAAATACCTAGTTAGGAAGGGAATGACTATGATTTTTCGAGATTTACTTGGGTTTCGATGATAAAACATAATAATGACGTCTTGAAAAGATTTGCTAGTTTTGTAAAAAGAGTTTTTTTTTATTACTAGGAGTGTTAATGGAGGAGAATTTGACACGGTAGCATTTGAAAAAAATTTGTGAAGATAATGGTTTTTCTCATGACTGCTCGACTCCTCGACAAAATGGTGTGGTTGAAAAGAAAAATCGTACTTTACACGAATTTGCTATATCAATGCTAAACGGGTATGACTTACCAAAATATTTTTTTTGGACGGAATCCATTAATACCGCTTTCAAATAGAGTTTTAATTAGACCCTCCTCAGATAAAACTCCTTGTGAATTTGGCATAATCAAATCCCAAATATTGGGTATTTAAAAGTTTTTTATTTTGAAAAACTGGAAATAGAAAATTTTGATTCTATTGGTATTTTTCTTGGTTATTCCTCTAAAGTTCATAGAGTTTTTAATGAGAGAATTTTAGTTATGAGGAAATCTATGCATGTGTATTGGATGAATCTTGTAATAATATTCCTAATGAGTCTATTTACCGTCATGATTGAGAAAAAAATTCTGTAATTTTACTTGTGAGTGACAAAATGAAAGAAACTGTTTCGGAAAAAGTAAACTGAGATGAGAAGGAGAATGAAGGTTCTTCATCAATGCTAGAAGAATGGAGGTATGTCTTATCTCATCTCAAGGACTGTATTATTGGCGATCTCGAACAAGGTGTGAAAACTCGTCCTTCTATTAATTTTTTTTTAATAATCTTACATTTATTTCTCAAACTGAAGCAAAAAATCTTAAGGATGCAAAAAATGATGAGTTTTGGATTTTAGCTGCGCAACAACTCTAAATCAACTTGAAATGAACAAAATTTGGGAATTAGTCCCTAGGCCCTCTAGTATTTTCATTATTGGAACTGTTTTTAGAAATAAAATTGATGCAAATTGGAATATCGTTGGCAATTAAGCTTGACTTATAGCTCAAGGTTAATGTCGGGAGGGAAGGTATAGACTATGAAGAAACTTTTGCACTAGATTAGAAGCTATTAGAATGTTACTCGCTTTTAATTCTTACGAAAATTTTATATTGTATCAAATGGATGCGAAAAGTGCATTCTTAAATGGTTATATTATGGAGGAAGTTTATGTAGAACAACCTCCCGTATTTGGAAATTTTTATTTTCCGCCGATGCATATAAGTTTTAAAAGGCTCTTGATGGCTTAAAACAAGCTCCAACTTGGTACGATAGACTTGTTAATTTTCTCAGTGGGAATGATTTTAAAATGAGTAAACTCGACACTACTCTTATTGTTAAAATTAAAGAAATTGATAGGCTACTAATCGTTCTTTATATCAAGAGAGTTGATGAGTATGATGGGAGGGCTCAGTTTCTTTCTTGGAATTCAAATCAAACAACTCAAAACGGTATCTTCATAAATAAGAGAAATACACTAAAGATTTACTCAAAAGATTCAAGTTCAACGAAGGTAAGATTGCAAAAACTCCAATGAGCACATCCACTAAGCTTGACAAGGATGAAAAAGGTAAATGTGTGGATATTAAATCTTATAGAGGTACGATTCGGTCGCCAGTAGACCCGATATTATGTTCAGTGTATGTTTTTGTGCTAGGTTTCAATCTTGTCCTAGAGCATCTCATTTACATGCAATTAAAAGAATATTTAAATATTTGCTTGAGACTATTAACTTAGGAGCGTAGTATCATAGAAAGGCTGAGTTTAAATTGTTAGGATATTCTTATGCGGATTTTGCTAGAAATTTACTTGATCGTAAAAGTACCGGTGGAACTCGTCAATTTCATGGCAGTTCATTAGTTTCTTGGTTTAGTAAAAAGCAAAATTTGGTTGCCTTAGCTACTACCGAAGCGGAATATATTACGGTTGCCAGTTGTTGTGCTCAAATTCTTTGGATGAAACAAACTATTGGGGATTTTTTATTAAAATTTGATAGTGTGCCAATATTTTGTGATACTATTATGCCGTCAATTTAACCAAAAATCATATTCATCGTTCTTAAAACTAAACATATTGACTTGGACATCATTGTATTAGAGAGCAGGTACAAAATTGACATATTATTCTTGATTTTGTAAGCTTTACTAATCAATTAGCTGATATTTTCACCAATCCAATAAATTTTTTAAAAAATAGGCTTAAGTTTGGTATTATTAGTTGTGATATATGTTGCTGAATTTTATAATCTTGTTTATAATTTTTGAAAGCATATTCTGCGAGAGCCATTATGTCATTCTTAATTTATCATTTTTCAATTGTTCTTTTTTATGATTCCAAAGCGGATGAAAATTAAGAAAGATATGTTCTAAGTTTGTTGTTTTGTAATTTATGAATCACTTCGTTGTTGTGATGTTTCATAATTTATTGAGGCATAAATACAGAGGGAGAATATGCTCTTGAGTGAATTTCAAGTACGAAATTTATGATAATACATTAAAATGCATCGATATTATTATTTGGACATGTATTATTTAGGTTTATGAATTTCCTACCATCTTTCTTGAAATCATCTTTAAAAAAAAAAAGCTATGGTTGGCTTTTGGCCCACGGTCTAATTAATTGATGTTTTGATGATAACAAACCTACACTCTCATAATCTAATTAATTATGTTTTGATGATAACAAACCTATACTTAATTATTAACAAACTATCTGTATTTTGAATCGTATATGTAAGGTTGAGAATAACGATTTCAACCCCTTTTTCAATCACTCAAATCAGAGAAAAAACGAAGAAGTTGCAGTCGAAAAAAGATACGTGACGTGATAATGTGACGGTAAAATTGACATTATGGACCAATCAAAGTATGACATTTATTTCAGGAGTATCAAAGGGTGGAGTTTCAATTTACTTTTTAAAAAATAGAAATAAAATTACTTATACATCCTATATAATTTGAATTATAAAAAATATTTTTAAAAAATTCTAAATTCAAATTGATTTTTATTATTTTTATACTATATTATATTATTATATTATTATATTTTAAAAAAACAAAAAATAAATAAAGTTGTTTTTTTTTGTTTGGTACAGTATTAATAACTATTTTTGCCACTTCTCTTAAACTCGTTCTCTTCTCTATATTATAACACATCATTTCCATGATTTCTTTACTAGAGTGTCCAGGGTGACTCTCCGTCTTAGTTGAGTGATCAAATTATGAATCTACTGTTCTTTTTAGAGAGTTGCGGTGTGTTACTGCAAAATTCAAATACTTGTACCGGTTTGATCATAAGTCGTGGAAATAATTGAGTTTGCTCTTGAACTCGTAAAAAGAGTTGTGTAACGGTTGGGCTCTTATTCGGGGAAAGAGTAAAGTTTGTTCCGGCTTTGAAGTAGTTGGTCGAGTTTGACTAACCTACTTAAAAAACTATGGTGTTATATTTTTTAAGTCTTTCCTGTTTTATCTCGAAATTGTTCTATTGGTTTATTGCATGTTCTAAGTTTTTCATAATTGCTTAGGGTATTTATTAAACTATTCTATTGTAATTATCATCTTCTACTCATTTTTTTTTTATCCTAGTTAGAGAATTTTTTTTTATGGATTATACGTATAAAGGGTGGTGCGAGTGGTGATTTGGAAGGGATAAGAATGGCCCCCGACCCCTTTCTGGTTGCGGTGGGCTGAATGGCCACGACCCCTTTCCGGTTGCGGCGGCCTAAATGGCCCCCAATCCCTTTCCGGTTGCGGCCGCCTGAATGGCCCCAGGCCCCTTTCCGATTGCGGCAGCCTGAATGGCCCTAGGCCCTTTTCCGATTGCGGCGGCCTGTATGGCCCCAGGCCCCTTTCCGGTTGCAGCCTGGATGGCGCCCCTTTCCGTTTGCGGCCTGGATGGCCCCTTTCCAGTTGCGGCGGCCTGAATG